CTCTCTTTGCCTGCCAGAGGACGAACTGGTAGGCACTGGTACTGGGAGGAGGATGGTCCATAGCCAATGGCTAATTCCGGCTGTTAATTTTGTATGCATTCGATTGGGTGCGTTGGGGGTCCCGGTCCCGGTCTCGGTCTCGGTCCCGGTCTCGGTCCCAGGCTCCCAGCTCGACAGTTTCCCTATCCATTCTTGGCTGTCATGTCGCATACATCTAAAATTAATCATTGGAATGCAGCATAATTTATTATGTCACACAGCAGCCGCACTGGCCACAAACACAAAATTGCCAGACAAAACCACACCAGAGAGAGAGAGAGGAACTGCCTTTCCGCATAGGCGTTTACTTCCTGCGGTTGACGGTTTGTCAGGGCGCCATTTAAAAACGGTCAGGACCGAAAGCCGCCAATCCGCCCCGCTCTGCGCTACCTCAGAAATGTCATGTCGAGTGTCGGGGCTCTTCAATCAAATGTGAAAATTTGTATAATTACAGGCTGGACGACGGCCGGCTTCCAGCGGTGGAGCCGTTTGATTTAATCAGGTTAATAGCGTTTGCATGTCGCGAGGGACCTCTCGCACACACACTCTCCTCCCTCCAATACTTACTCGCGTGGTGTGTGTTGGTGTGGGGGTTTAGAGGTGTTAAATGTTTGCGGTTGCATTGTAATAAACTTGCATGCAAATGGCCGCCCATCAGGTTTAATTACAAGGGCCTCCGAGCTGCGAGTAATGAAGAAAAACTGCCAACCTCCACCGGATGGTAAGTTGATGATTGATGAAATTTTTGTACGTGCCGGTAAGAGCTGGTTGTCGGAGGTGTGAGCCATCAAAGGGTTTCCCTTCCTGCCGATGTGTGTGTTATAAACAGCCGTACGTTTTTGTTAGCCCTATGATTGATTGCCAGTGGTTCAATCTTCCATTGGCCCCACTCATAAATCTGTGAAAAGAATCCTTTGGCCCTTCAATGAAAACAAAGTTTTCGTTTTAATTTGCATTTTTTTAAAGTTATTTTTATTGCATTTCTCGCCCTCTTTTCCTCGCTTTTCCAAATGTGTTTTGTATGAATCTCAAATGATTTCATTTGTTTGCTATTTTATATGCCATTACCATACAATATTACATTTTTCCATTTTGCTTGTTTCTGCTTGTTTTTCAAGTGATTTGCCATGGTTTCTTTTGTTTCTCGTTTTTTCTATGTTTGTTTACAATTTGTCACAACCTTACAAATTGAAAATTGATTAAACCAATAAAGTTTTGTGTTTTGTGTGAGAGTGCTATTGGAATTGCCCTTCAATACTACTCGTACTATCCGGAATAGAAGAAGTTTTGAGCTGGATTTACCTTTAGCTTTAGCTTTAGTTTCTGTTTTAGTTTTTGTTTTCCTTTTGTTTGAATTTTGGTTGGGCTCAGATCTGCGACTGCTTTAAATATAATACTTTCTCATCGTTATATCTGCAATCTATTATCAATTTGGTTTTGGTTTCGGTTTCGATTTCGGTTTTGGTTTTGGTTTTTGGGTTTTGTAAGGTGGCGCCTGGGAATGGGCCTGGAATGGACAGGCTTCCCGTTCCCCGACACCTCTCGTTTCCTATACACGATGCTAAATTTAAAAAAAAAATTCTTTACCTTTACCATCTAAATGTTTAAAGATCAAATGGGGCTTATTTGGGGCTCCTTCTTAGTTTCGGGAGGGAGTGGAAAGTGTAATGCTATTTTCAATGTTTTATGTTTTAATTCATATTTTTATTTCAATTTGTGTTTTGCATTTGCTCATAAAAAACAAATGGTACAACTTACAATTTGGCACATCATTAAAGATTAGAGTTCTCATATAATATATATATATATATATATATATTTATATACTTTATATTTATACTTTATATGACGCCTACGCGTCTGATCTATGTGAAGTTAAACAAAAGTGGCGCTGGCTTATGGATAGAATACACAGATTCGTCTCTGGGAGTGCGGGATTGTGGGAGGTTGTTTCGAGGGGTCACAAAATAGGTCGGGTCAAAATGAGAACATTATCATATACATAATATATATCGTAGGCTACCATATAGCTGCAGTGTTTGATTGAGTTGCGTTTGCACTTATTGCATAATTTATCCGAGGTCTGACTTTTCCCTCAACGCATTGCTTAAGACAAAAATTGTGTTTTCCCTTAGTTTTGTTTTGTTTTTTGTTTTTAAAAATTGCGGTGGAAGTTGAGTTTATAATTTAAATGTATATATCGTACCGTATTATGTTTAAGTTTTGCTTTATAACTAGATGGTTTTTGTATTTGTTTTTTTTTTTTTTTTGTATATTCTGTCTGTTCATAAAACCCAAATCTGTGTCTGCGTCTGCGATTGTGTGTGTTTCTGTTTAAGGGTGATTTTTGGGGTGGACCCAAACTATTTTTGCGCTATTTGAAAAACGTATTATATTTAATTACGTCTTTATTATAGATAATTCACTTGAAAGCTACATTTAATTTGGCAATTGTTGGGTTCGATTTGTTCTTATCATTTTTAAAATTTTTGTTTTTGTTTTTGTATTTGTTTTCCTTTTCGCCCACCTTGTCTGTCTCTGTCTCTGTCATCGGCGTACTAACTAATATCTAACTAAAAATCGTTTTAAAATATAAACTTTGGCTTTAAAAATGTCAACGTAATGTATAGTATATCAATATAATAATTATGAGAGAGAATAAAAAAAAAAGTTAACACATTTATGTGCGTATAAATCTGAGTATGGTATGACATAATTGCTTCGCGTTTTTGTGGGCAACCCTGGGGCATAGCCTGTTGCTATGCTCTCTTTCTGCTTCTCTTTGTGTGCGTGTGTATTGGTGTGTGTGTCTGGGAGAGGAATATTGTAAAATATTATATATGTATCTTCGTAAATATGTACAATCTGAGACATTCCAAGTGATTAGATTGAAAACAAAAAAACCCGTCAAAGTTGAAGCTCTTTGGAGTCGATGAAATTTTCCTGCCTGCCTTCCATATAATTTCGCATAGTGTTTTCTTTAGTATTTTATTTTTGTTTTGTTTTGTTTTGTTTCAAGGAAATTTGAAGAACACTTAAGAATTGCACGATTACACACACACACACACAATATTTAGTAGCTTTGTTTCCTTTAGCATAGTATGGTTCATAAACAACTAGTATAAACTTGACGACAGTAGCTGCCTAAGAATCAAAATAGAGAACGTCAATTTGGTTGTTGTTTCCATTGAGCATTTGATCGTTAACATTTGAAAAATACACAACGTTAAAAGTTTTCATTTGGTATTTTTGCATTTTGCATTTAGCATTTAGCATTTGTTTTGTGTGTGCATTAGATTCGAGTGTGTGTAGAAAATAAATTCTTAGTTTTCTTAGGAAAGGGTGTTTTCGCCTCGGTCTAATCCGAACAACGAAGTGAACAACGTCAAAGATTCAGTTTTCTTTGCTCTTTGCTGGTTGCTCTTTGCTCTTTGCTTTTCTTAATAGTTTTGGTTTTCTGTCTTTACACAACACACAAGGAAAGTGCTACGGAGTAGGAGCTAAAAGTTGTTTAATTTTTAATGCTTATTATTCGATTTCCACATCATTCATCAATGGCTTTTTTTGTCACTGGAAGCTTGACTTTTAAAAACTAATTTTTTTTTTTTTTTTAGATTTTTTTTTGTTTGTTTTGTAGTTTTTTTTCATTTGTTTTTGTTTGCTTTGCTGCTATGGCGGCATTTAAAGTAAATATTATTGTATATTCCAAGGATATGTCTACGTGTTGATCTTTTGCATTTATGTATGTATGTACCTATGCACTACGATTTTTTTGAGCAATTCAAATTGAGTCGCGTTCGAGTTCGAGTTCTGTTTGGGGTTAGCTGCCAAAATATATAGAAATACTAGGAACAACCAAAGCAATGCATTAAAAATAAATTCGTCGACAATACAATACAATACAATACAGTACAGAAATGAGTATTCTTTGGGTATTTTCAAATAAGAAATTATGTATCTAAAATATATGCAAATAAACGTATGCTACTCCTAATACTCCTAATGCCTAATGCTTTGTGCATTGTCCCCCTCTTTGAAGTTTGTTCAAATAATATACAATTCGATTGGTTAATTTGTTCCTTTGCTTGATGCCTATGCTGCTTGATTGCTTCTTACTACACACTACACACTGCTACGGATGTTAAATGTTAAATGTTAAATTTGTAAATCATTCAAAACGCAGGGAGGGAGGGATCTAAACTTAGTTCAAATATGTTCCAAAATCAACAACCAAAAGGTATGCTCGTATATAGTATTATTATCTGATGATGTTTCCGCATGAAAAGTATCTAAAAAAACATTGCTCTTTTTGTCTGGTTGGTTTCTGATATACAAATACAATGCCTATATCATAACTATATATCTTGTTGGTATATATATATATATGTATATATATATATATAGATGTATGTGTATGTATATATAAATTCTGCTTTGCCGCACAAAGTTTCAGCTTTTGTTCTGGTAAAAATCTACGCATGAAGCACATGTGTTTTTTTTCTTTTCTTTTCTTTCACTTTTTGCAAAACTGTTTTTGCAATATGAGTTTTTCTCTTCTCCTTTTCTTTTAATTTATGTAATTTTCCTTTCCTTTCGTTTCTTTCATTTCCTTTTGTTTTTTGTTTTTTTGTTTTTACTTATAGAAACTCCATAGAACTGTGTTTAGCGCTTCTTTTGTTTTGTTTTTATGTTTGGTTTTGTTTGTTTTGTGGCTTTTACTGGACGACATTGATTTGTTCTTTTCTTTTGTTTTTTTTTGTTTGTTTTTTTACTGCATTTGCAGTTGCATTTAGCTTTGATTTTCAACTCTCCAAGATCTTTGAGCGGCGGCTGTTGTGTGTTGAGTATCTTGTATCTATCGGTTTGGTTGTAACTTCTACTTACTGCACGTAGAGGAGTAGAGGAGTATTTACTTCTAAGTTACTTGCTTATTTGCATTTTCTTTGTTCATATATTGAGCATTTTCATCGAGAGTAGTTCAAGTGCATTATTTGGCTGACTGGCGTTCTTAATGGTTCCTAATATGGCGTGAATCGATTGAAGCCGCCGCGGTACATGGTTGCCTACAAAAGCGGATGAAAACGGATGAAAAAGCAGAATTTTGGATTAGTATTTTATAATAATATGTCTTTATCATCGGTTGATAGTCGGTGGGAATTAACACGGCATAGAGATATGTACGAGTATGAAGTCGAAAGAGTAGTTGAAGATCACTTACCCCATAGCCGGGCACGGGTCCAATGCCATGTCCTAGATAAGGATCTGCATACTCGCGCGCATAGCTAGAAATATTTTTGTTGGGGATTTGCATCTCATTAGTAAAGACGGTGGCTCGATGGTAGATGGTAGATGATAGATGATATGATGGCATCCAGTTGGATCCCAGTTAGATTTGGTTAGTTGTTAATTTTGATTCTGCTCATTTCTCGATTGATGCTCTTAAGTGCTTATTGAAAGTTGTTTAGTTTGGAAATGGCTGTGCAAAAGAGCTCAAAGGTTTGTCTGAGGCCTTCCTTGTTGGTCTTTAGACTGCTGCTACTTGTTAAGCAATTACTAACACAGTTGTTAATCAAGATTGGGTTGAGGTACAAAAATAATGAAAATAAATAGTTAAAAGATTAGTAAAATGTTAAATGACAGCTGAAAGAAATCAAATTATAATAAACTTAAAATAAATGATGATACTTTAAAACACATAAACGTATGATAATCATAGAACAAGTTTGAAGAGAATAACGATTCCGACAAAACAATACGTATAGAAAACTCCTTTCAGATGTTCAGCAGTCTATATGGGACCAACAAATACATCAAAATCTAAGCGAAAATCTTTCAGTGCATGTATTAGTAGCGGTTATTGGTTATTGCGGTTAATGGATGGTTTTGAGCGACAGGTTGGTTAATAAGAGGAGACTTGCTCGGATTCCTGGATGGAGGGTGAACTTACCCCGCTACGGTGGCATATCCGGCAAGGGCCGGTTGGGCGGCTGCTGCGGCAGCGGCCCCATAGGCCGCTCGGGCAGCAACCGCCGTGTAGGTGGTGGCAGCCGTGGCATACGCCTGCTGCTGGGCCTGAGACAGGGGTGTCTTTAACAGCGGAGCAGCGGCCTGGAATAATGTCAAGCAGATCGGGCGTTAGACAACAACGGAAATAAGGCAAAGCTAAAGGAACAGACGCAGTTACAAATTTTGGGGACGACAACGGCAAACGGCAAGACTAGCGGAGGAAAGACAGTGAGCAAATATTGTGAAAAAAATTAGGAACCTAAACCGGAAAGGAAAGGCCAAAATAAAGGTTGTATATTGTATGTACGAGTATATAGATTGTAATATTAACCAAAACCAAAACCAAAACGAGTGCAGGCAAATGGAGTCGGTGTGGCGGTGTGATGGTGTGATGGTGTGATGGTGTGATGGTGTGGCGGTGTTGCGTTGTGGTGGTGTGATATCGTGTGATGTGTGGTGGGTGTTTTGTGCTTGCCAAGGATATACAAAATATTGTAGTAATATCTATGTACACATTGATATAGCGGTAGTACGAGTACATAGTGTGGGAGAACGAACCATTGAAACCGAGAACTACCGAGAGAACCCAAGATGCCAGACTACGAAACCCAAAAAACGGGACACGAACCAGTAAAGAACTTAGCATACATAAGATTATACAACTAGGGTTAACTTAAGACTTATGTATATAATATGTACAAATACAAATACAGATACAGATACATATGTACGTACGTATGTATGTATGTATGTATGTAGTATGGTGCAGGGGTATAGAACATACACAGAAAAGGCGCATTAACCAAAACGGGAGCAACAATAAACGACAAACAAACAGAAATCGCATTGTGGATAGACTTTCGGGGGGAGGTTCGGGATAGAGATGTAGTATTTAAGGTGCAATTATCTAAAGCTAGATATGATTATTTTTACCAAAACATTCTGTGGTACCGGAATGCGGTTGATCGTATGTGGGTTACTGTTTAGCGTAGTCACAGTGCGGCGCTGTAATTTATGGGTTTTTGGTTTCAATAATTGATTTGTTTTCGATTTGTGTTGAGTATTCGATATTTTTGTCGATATTTTTCGATAGTGGTAACGGTCGTGAAAGAATAACCAAAAAGAATTCGTAGTAGTTACAAAAATGTAGTTACAGCATTGAAAAATAGTATAGTATAAGTAAATTAGTCAAATATGTATTTAGTTATTATTCATAAATTCAGCAAAAGCAAAGAAAATGTTCAATGTGAAGAAAAATAGCGATAATGAATAGATAAAGAAAGAGAGAGTGAGAGCGAGAGCAGCGTAGAGCATAGAGCATAGAGCGTATAGCGTATGCCTCTTAAAGCGATCTTGTGGTCAGTCACTACGACAAACGACAAACGACAATCGACGCCTTCGAGAATGAGGTTTTGAAATGGGGTAAAAGGAAAACGAACCAAACAAAGGATGCAATTATAGGAGTACGAGTACGAGTATTGAGTATTTAGTATTTAGCAGATCTTATACACAAGTGTTCAATGTTCAATTCAATCGTAGGTATTGTTAGGTAAGCCTGGAAGCTAGCTTCACTCAGGATCAAAATCAAATCAAAGTACTTTACGACCAGTTCTCAACGAAAACATACGAGTGTAACACAGCAAGAAATCAAACCAAGTCAAATCAAATCAGGACGCGTCTTGGCGTTAGTTCGGATCGGAAATGGAAAATGGAAAATGCAAAGGAAACATAAAAGTAGTAAAAGCGCAGTAAAACAATATAGTATACGATATAGTATGTATAAATGTATAAACTTTTGTTCCAAAAACCAAGTCAAATGTTTCAAAACTCAATCGGTGTTTTTTTTTTGTTTTGTTTTTTTCACAAGCTAAGTACCATCAAAATATAAATAATACAGATTGTTCTTTCATTTTTTGTTGTTTTTCTCTTTTGGTTTTCTTTGATTGTGGTTAGCATATTAGTTTGAAAAAGTTTTATTACATTTAATATGGCGGCTGGCTGAGCGGCTGGAACTTCAGTGACCGGTTTGGCTGCCTGGAAAATTTATATATAGATATTTTTGTTTCATATTTCATATGTATATATTGAGAACAAGTTAGCGGTTTAGTTCAGCCTAGACTAGAGAATAATAATAGCTTAGCACATATCCTAAATTGTAATTGCTATTGGTGTTTAGGTTTCTGTTTCGGTTTCTGTTTCTGTTTTGCTTATCAGCTATCAGTTATCAGTTAGCAGTGGGATCGAGACTCACCTGGAAGCGTAGATTCGGATCAGCGGATGCAGCGGCTGCTAGGAAGGGATCATAGTATACACTGCGATTTGGGGGGATAAGAGAAGGTGAGAAAATTCATAGATTAATACACGATTATGACGACAGCCACAAGTTCATTGGGTGGGCGGGTGTGGGTGTGGGTTTATTTGGTGAGGGTTCAAACGAGAGGGCTCGTCTCTCGTTCCTTCTTTTTGGAGGCACTTAAAGCAAAATTCAAAAATTTTCTTCAGCATTTGGTTTTTTTTTTTTTGGTTTTTAATTGTTTGTTTTCATGTTCTATTTTTTTTTTAACGCACTTGTGTGGTTTAGGTTTATGTTTTGGACGCTATGAGAAAACAGATGGGATAAAGTTTTCAATTTTGAAAAATCAATGAAAACTTTATCCGCAATTCTGTTCGGTTTGTCTTTTCGGTTTTGTTTTGTTTTGATTAATTGTTGTTGTTGTTGTTTTTGGTACCGGATGCTGTGGGTAAATGGCTGAAACTTAAGGCGTAACTCAATAAAAACTAAAAAAAAAAACGTAAATCAATCCCCCTCAAGCCTAACCCAAAGCAAACCCTAAAAAAACTGACTACTGCCTAGACCTAACTGACTGACTGACTGACTGACTGCCTGACACCTAAGATCTCATCTGATCTGATTCAATGTCTATGCTGCGAGTCCCCGCTTGGATGACACTTAAACTGATTGGAGGAAATGTATTTTCATTTTGATAGATTAAAGAGAACGAAAGGAAAATTATAAAGTACATGTGTATGTGGGTATGTATAGAGTGGTTTATATATATAGAGAGAGTACTAGCAAAAGAAAACCAACCAACCAACCAACCAACCACATACGTAGGTCATTCCATTTCCCAAAACTACATACTTAAAATGTTCTTGCTTGCTTTTAATGTTGTTGCTTTTGAGTTTAAGACAGAACAGACATGTCATGCACCTATGTATCTAATTAGTTTTGCTAGATCGCATATGTTTTGTTTTTTGTTTTGTTTGTTGGGGCGAAGGGGATTATAGTAGATAGATCTCTGTAAGTGTAAGTGTGTGTGTGTGTGTGTGTGTTTAATGGGTCGGCATTCATTCATACGCTATTGTGTATGGTTTAGGTTTATGGTGGATGTGTCTCTGTGTGAGGAAGGTGTAAAGCGCAGCCACAAAAGAATAGGTAAATGGTCTATATATATGTATGTATATATATATAGTATAGGTGTGTTTCGGAGTGTTATGTGTGTGTGTGGGGGGGAGCGGGGGGTTCTTCGGTGGGCAAGAAACATGCACGCAAGGCTCTGGCAGAGCGCCACACTTTCAAGTCAAATTCAAATGGAAATTCATCATACGCCTAGTGGTACGGTACACAATATACACAATCAAGTAGGTCCCTTAACCAAAAATTAAATACAAAAAATTAAAGATAAAACGATGCCAAAAACACACTGCCGTCAGTCAAGATATGAGCATATACGAGTATGTGGATACATTATATATGTATATATATATATATGGTACGAGTATAGATTTAGTTTATAGGGGTTATAGGGGTTATGGGAATAGTTTTTTGTTTATGTTTTTGTTTCTTCTTCTTTGCTTTTGTTTTGGTGGGTAGCGTGCGTTAATTGGATTGGATTGGATTGGAACGGAACGGAATGGGTTGAATGGGATTGCTGCTTTTGCAATTTTGTATTCTGTTTGGGTTCGGTATCTAGTATGTTCTTGCTGAGAATTGTAATCAAATTGTAATCAAACTCTATATGTAGTAGATTTCGTTATATGCGAGATTAAAACTTTACACACACACAAGATAGCTAAAAAAAAAAAAACACTTGTCACCAACAAGATAGATTATTAACATTAGAGAGAGAGAGAGAGAGAGATATATGTATATATTTAGAGAGATAGAGAGCGTGTGACTCGGACACAAAGACAATCTTGAAGCTATAAACAATTGAAGCTCGAATGCACTGAATGTAAATAATAATAGTGAAAATAACAAATGGATGGCATGGTACGTATGGTACTTCCGTGGCATGAACAACCAGTGGGTTAAACAATAAGAACGAAAGGAGAAACCATTACATTGTTTATGTATAGTAGATCAAGTGCGCTAGGACTACATTCAAAGATTGGCAAAAAGGTATCGAAATCAAAGAAAATACAAAGTTACGGCTACAGCACAAAAATAACTACTTTTTGGTCGGTGTGTGGTCGCTGCACCGACGGAGGCGCCACCACGGAGGACTCTACTTACGGCGCAAATCCATGCAAAGCGGCAGCATTGTTGGCCGCATTGGCCGACGCTGCCATGGAAGCAGCAGCCGCAGCAGCAGCGGCCGGCGTCTGTTGAGCAGTGGCCGCCGAGAGGCGGGCGGCATAGGCGGCCGCGGCAGCAGCACTCGCATTGGTGGCGACTCCTCCCTGGTTCTGGGCAGCCGCAGCAGCGGCCAGCGACTGTTGCAGGGCCGAGTGCTGTTGGGCGACGGCAGCGGCATTGGCTCCAGCGGCCGTGGGCACGGCCACCGCCTGGAGTGTCGGCTGCAGTCCGGCGAGCGCGTGGGCGTGGGCATGGGCATGGGCATGCGGATGCGAGGCGGCTACGGCGGCGGCATGCTGTTGCTGCTGCTGTTGTTGTTGCTGCTGCTGCTGTTGCTGCTGGTGCTGGTGCGCCGCCTGCTGCTGCTGCTGGTGGTGCACCTGCTGCTGTTGTTGCTGCTGCTGTTGCTGGTGCTGGTGGACCTGCTGCTGCTGTTGGGCGGCTGCTGCGGCCACGGCGGCGGCGGCCACCTGGCGTTGCTGCTGGTGCTGTTGGGCGGCGGCGGCCGAGGCCGCCAGCAGCGCTTGATGGTGGTGCGTATGATGGGGATGATGGTAGGGTGTGGCACCGACCACGCCCACATGTCCACGTTGAATGGCCACTCCACGCATGGCAGCTGCTACGGCGGCTGTGAGGCGTAACGGGGATGGGGGTATTTTTGTTTGGTTTTTTTTGCGATAGTTTTTTTTGGTTTTTTTTTTTTTGCAACGATTTCACACAACATTTTTGACCAGTGTAGGCGTGTGTTTGTGTGTATGTGTGGTTTGTATGTATGTGTGTGTGTGTGTTTTTGTGTTCGTGTGCAAAAAGTAGAAAAAAGGAAAAGAAAAGAACATAAAACGCATGCGGTTAGTTTTCTCATTGTTTGTTTTTTTTAATAAGTAAATATGTATATATATAGTAGAATATATGTAGTATATATATTTGGCAAGATCTAGGCATTATGTATTAACGGTTTTTATTTATAAGTAAATATATATATAGTTGATGTATATATAGCACTGAGATGATATTGGTATATACATATAACAATACATAAGACGAATACATACGTGTAGCTCTCATACATACAAATATGTAGATGTAAATGTAAATGGGTTTTATTCGAAAAATACTTAACATTAGAACACTCATTTACCAATAAATGCTACGCAGTTGCATCTTAAATTGCATATTCAGATATAAATAATATGTATATATGTATAAGTATGCAATAATTGAGAGAGAGAGAGAGATAGAGATATTATCATCAACAGTACGAAAAAACATTGGACCGATCTTTAGTACAGTAGCCGGCATACGTGGCATACGTGGCGTATGCACAATGTACATCCATATGCAGCAAGACCTCTTTTTTGATTGCAGTGTGGGTGGGTGGGGGTGGGTTAGAAACGATCTCGAGCGTACAAAGCATATCGAATATATCAAATTTCAAATTAACAACTTTAAGTTTAACCCTTGCACCTTTCAAATATGTTTCAAACTAGCAAAAACATTTACTAAATGACGATGAGATGATGATTCGATTTTATAGCAGTTTAAAGCTGATAAAGGAAAATAGAGATAGAGAGAGAGAGTGAAAGAGAAAGAGAGTGAGAGCAGGCAAGGATTGCCTAATCCTCGACAGTAGTATCTTTTCTGGGAAAACTCCGTGGAACGTTCTTCATTCAATTGGGAATCAGGCCACAAAAGCCACATTTTTTAATATTAAACATTAAATAATTCCACGCGGTTTTCCCACTCAATTTGTAATAATTGCATTTATGCCTGGTAATTAAATATTTCCGAATTGACAGCGACAGCCCCACACGAGCAAGCCGCTAACCAGAAGCGCTGCCTGCTCGTCATTTGTCAGAAACAGGTGTGGGGCGGTGCCCCGCGGTGCTGTTTTGATTGCAAATCACTGCCCAAATCATAATTGAGATTTGTAGGAAAAACTGGCGTGGGCTGAGGAAGAGTTCTGGGCAGGTATGTGCCACATTTTGCCGCAAATTGAATACTTGTTTGGACAGGGCGCAATTAAGAATTCGATTTGCCATATTTGTATGGAAATTATTAGCTAAAATCGAAAATATGTGGTTTGTGCCATAGAATTTGTATTTCGGAACCAAAAATGTTGATCAAATTTTTTGAAAAATATTGCCAACATTCCATGGATGTTCGGTGTTGATTTTTTGTGGCAAGCCCAATGCATTGGAAACGAAATAATTAAAGAAATATAAACTGCTAAGAGGTAGTGGTAGATGGGCGATGGGGGCGGTATTTTTGTAGCATGCAGAGAATTGAAATTTGAAATTTCAGGGGATTTCATTCGGCAAATTGATTCGAATTCGGTTTTCCTTGCATTTGTTCGGCCAAAGCGAAGATTAAAAACACAAAAACAAATCGAAAATCGTGCAAACTGCAAATATAATAGTAACAGAAAACGAATAACAGACACAGAAGAAGTAGATGAATGAAAGATAGATAGAAAGAGTACAAAGAGAGAGTAGAGTAGAGTAGAGTAGAGTAGAGTAGAGTAGAGTAAAGTAGAGTATGGTTGCTAGAAGGTGATGCTCTAAGAGTAAAGGCCTTACGGAAAATGCTTGCTTGCTGCGGCAAAAAATATATTCGCTACCGAATATGCAATTTACGGATTTACGGTACATTATATATGTATGTATATGTAGACTATGGTTAAAGCTAAGACCTTTCCACATACTTAACGGCTAAGAGTTACGGTTACGGTTACGATTACGGTTACGGTTACGGTTACGAGAGTACAGTTGCTTTCGGGCTGGAGTGGATGTGGTTGCCACTAGTTGGATGGGTTATCGATTAACGCGCGTGGCTATCGATTACTCGATGTATCTGCGAGTGTGTGTGTGTGTGTGAGTGTGTACTAGGTGTTTAAGTGTGTGTGTGTTTGTGTGTGTGCCTAGACGACCGGAACAATCTCAAGCAATCTCAAGGGCGCCAAAAGGTATGCAATATTTATATAGTAGATATATGTATGTACTAGTATCAGATAGTTCAAAGTTCAAATAGTAGTCAAACCCAAATGCGTAAACCAAATTAAACAAGACAACAAACATTTATATAGTATGTAGGTACATAGCATCGTATCGTATGGTACAGAGAATCTCATAGCTAAAGAATTGTCGGTGATCTTGTTTTTGGGTTCAGTTACGGTTACGTTTACGTTTACGGTTACGGTTACGGTTTCTGATTGTTGTTGCAATAGTGTTTTGGTTTTTGTTTTTTGAATTCTGCTTTTAGAGGCCTGCTTCACACGCCATCACCAAAGACCCAGAACTTTTGTCAGATTCGATCATATACTTGTGCTCGTAGTACCTCCGCCGAGGCGCTGTTGCTGTCGCCGTTGCGTTGGACATGGCGCTGTGCGGTGGGCGTGTCGTTAGCATAATGGGCGTGCCACCAGCGGCGGCAGCCGCAGCAGCAGCAGCCGCAGCGGCCGCTGCCGAGGCCTGCGTGGCCACAGGACCCGCCGTTGCCGCTTGGGCCACGGGCATGGCCATCGACACGGGCATTGGCATGGGCGTCAACGTGGGCGCTCCGGCGCCGACGGGTGGACCCAGGAAGGGCCAGGCGGCGGCCACCGGTAGTCGATATCCTGGTTTTTCATATGTACACATATATTTATTTTTGGATCAATTTCTGTCACCATTTCAATGGGAGGGTGTGTGTGTGTGCGTGTGTGGATGAGTATGTTGTGTGTTCTCTCTGTGTGTGTGTTTTAAGATATATATAGGTATTTATATATATATATATATATATATATATATACATATGCAATTGGATGCAGTGGGAGGCGAGGCGGTTCTGTAGATGATATTGCATTTGTTGTTGTTACTGTTGTTGTTGCTTTTTGTTGCTCTTGGGCTCAGTTCTAGTGGTATAGTCTGATTGGATCTTTGGCTCGCGACGAGGACGACAGTCACCAGAGCTGGTTACCATATGATGTTTACAGTTACGAGTACGAGTACGAGTACGATTATAAATACGAGTAGTTACGTGGCTAGGGAGCATTTTCAGACTTGTGTCAGACCAAAGTAATCAAGTAATCAATTAATACCATTAACGAACTCAGGACAACAAAGAATACGGTATACAGAATAAGGTATAAGGTATAAAGTATAAAGTATAAGGACATAACATACAACAGAACTGATTGTTAAGAAAGGAGTGTGGGGTGAGAGCGAGAGAGAGTGTGTCGAAACCAAAACAAATGTAAGAATATAGGAATATAATAGGTATATTTATAGGCAAAAATAGTTGGTAGCTTCGGTATATAGTAGATATACATATAGGACTGGCAATGTAAGGTAGTGTGTAGTAGTATAGTAGTATGCTTAGGACAACACAGCCGCAAATACGAGTAGTATGCTAAACTCATAACCATCATTGATTCCGATGATCGCAGGATCATCGCAGTCATCAATCAATTCAATTCAATTCAATTCAATCATCAATCAATTATCATTATCATTATCATTATATCAAGACTAGTAAGAAAATTGCCGAGGCGACTGCTTTTCATATAACGGGATTTGTTGTTCTTGTCGAGCGGGTGGTGGTGGGGATTGGGGGTGTTAATGTGGGCTGTTCATCTTATACGCAGACAAAAACATAATCAAAACAATGATAAGGAAAGGAAACCAAACTTGACGGAAAAAAAAACAAAAAAAAAAAAACAATTATCAAATACGTTGCAGCATTATATTTAGGTATATATGGATGGATTGTTGTATGCATTCGTTTATGGTTTATATTTTATAGTTTATAAATTTATAGATTAACGCAATTCCATTTCCGTCGGGACCTACCGCAAATAACAAACGAAAAAAAAAATAGGTACATGTCTCTATAGGAACAAATGGAACAGATATGCCGCTCAATGAACATCATGGGTTGTGGGGGGGGTAAACGTAAAACGAATGTCATTTTGGTGAACTTTGAACCTCGATCATCCTCCTCCTCCTCCTCCTTCTCCTCCTTCCTACCGACCTCGGTGGATGGACCCTACCACATATGTATTATTACCACAAGTATTATGTTTAATCAATATCATTTGTTTTTGTCCTGCCTAAATAATTGTTCTTTTGGCTTACAGGCTAGAAAATGTCTCGGCAAATGTCTCTTAAATATATTGTATTTTATATATGTATATATATTTGTTGAAACACAAAACTGATGAATTACGAGTATTTTATGGTACATATAATCTCTCGTATGATAACTTATTGTCACAGTGTTTAACTCTGGCTGTGTGTGTGTGTGAGTGTCTGTTCATTATTTGAGAATTTACAACAAAACGTACGGCAGGCAATAAATACGTAATAGCAGTAGTAGTAGTAGTAGTAATGGTAATAGTAATAAAACATCGAGTGTGTGGTATGGAAAAACGTTGACAAATCTCTTACCTTCTGGCCATTGTACGCAGACTGCAGCAATGCAGCACATCCAGCAAATGTTTATATTTATTTTTGAATTTTTTTTTATTTTTAATTTTTTTGATTTGATTTGGAATAAACATGTTTTTATTCGTGCGGAAAAGGCATGGAAAAGAGAAAATAATTTCATTAGTTTTTTTCGTATTTAAATGGAGATTTTATTGCATTCGCTTTTTCGGTTTTTATTTGATGTTTTGTTTTCTGTTTTAAGTAATTATTTTTATTATTATTATTATTATGATTATACAATATACACATAATTGGATACATTTCGTTATGGCACACACAAAATACAAAACAGGCAGCTCTATGGTACAGCTTTTGATTATGGAAACACAATACACAGATACAGATACATTTTGGAGTTCTAATTGATTTGTGGTTGTTGTGGTTGCTGTGGTTCGTTCGTTGGTTCATGATTTCCATGGTATTATTGTATTTTCGGGGGCTGGGGTGGGGGCGGGGGCGGGCGGTGCATGCAGCATCTCTTAAAAAAGAGCTTAGGAAACGACAACATTCAACAAAATGGTAAATCAGCAAACGGCAAACGGCAAACGGGTGCCCTTCCTTGTGGCAATCGAATGCCTCGCTGGGCACACAATGAGCTCCTGTCTCCTTGCACAGGACTCACAGGAGTCTGTGCTGTGAAAATGGTAAAATAAATACCCAAAAATGCAGTAAAAGACATGTCAGACAGCCAGACAGTCAGACAGACAGACACTGGCTGGATGGGGAGGCTGGTGGGGGATGGGGGGTGCGGGTAAGAAGAAGTTTTGGGCGACATAAAGGCGCATTAAGTTTAACATGTCAAAGGATCAACGTAAAAAATAACACACATATATATACGCAGCACAGCAAGAAAGTTGCAAAGACAAGAAAGAGTCAGTGGGGGGCATAGTTGGGTCTGGGTCTGGGTGGGTCTGGGTGGGGGGAGGCAAATCAGCATAGACCGGGCAAAAGTTTCTTCCGAAAGGCAGCGCTGCTCACATTTGCATAAGACATAACACAACACAACGAGCAAAATGAAACGAACGTTTCTGCGGCATGCCCCCAGGGTGCTTCTGCTGCTGCCGCTCCCGCCTCTGGCAACAGGGAGTAGTTTTTTTTTTGCAGTAAATGTGGCGGTGGTGTGTGTGTGAGTGTGCAACATGTTTTGCAACTTTGTGGTTTATTTGTAATTATCCCCGGCTACCGCTTGACTGACTGACTGACTGTCAGATGGATCCTGCCTGCTCCTGCCTGACTGCCAGCTTGATCCCTCTGCTGCCTGCCTGACTGCCACCTAACGAGCAGGACGGACAACGACGTGAGTCTTCCTGCTACTCCTCCTTCGGCCCCGGCTCTGGGTAATAATGTTGCAAGCGATTTGCCATGCAAAAGAAGCCGAAAGAAGTTCGAAACGTGATAAAGTGACTGCCACAGGCCAGGGCAGGCCAGGGGAAAATGGAGCTCCGTTTCTCTAATATCCTGCCAGGGCAGGGCCTTTACCGAGCTTTTCTCTAAATAGAATACTTTCCCCCCCAACCCCTGCAGCTCCACCCAGCTCCAGCATTTAGTGCAACGCAAATGAAGCGCATTAGGTGCACGTGCACGTGGGCAGGGCAGGGCAGGGCGGGACGTGGACGTGGACGAGCACAGATCCAAAGCAACAAGAAAAAAGGGTCTTGTTTGGAGGATGAGGATGGCCATTGAAAAGAGCAGCGGCAGCCAGGCAGTGGCCATTGCTGCTTCTGTCTCCGAGCCTCAATCATATTGGCCTTTTTGCGTCCAAGTCGGAGTTTTGTTGCCAATACAAAAGCATTTTGCATCAGAAGAAGGATAACCGACCACTGGGGAGCCACGTCGCCGCCGCTGTTGCTCCTGGCAACGCTTTGAGCCGCTTTACCAGTAGGAGGAGATCCGACAGCCCCCTGTCCCTATCCCTATCCCTGTCCCTGTCCCTGTCCCTGTCCTAGCCAGTGCCTGGGATTCAGTTCAGTTCCGTTTGGTTTTTGCTTTGGGTTTTGGCTTGGGTTTGGGATTGGTTTGTAAGCGGCTTATCGTATTGAGCGAACCCGAACGAAAGTATAGATTGTGCTCTTTGAATACTTTTTAATGGCAAACAGAGTGGAGACGATTTAATCAGCAGTATTATTTATTATACATTGCATGGAAAAACTTTTCCCGGTTTCATCTGCTACTTCCTCACCCCCTGCCCCTGCCCCTGCCCCTCTTCACTCTTCCCCCCTCGCTTTTTATAGTTATTTGTAAAGAAACGAGAGAAGAAAGTTTTGTGCAGCCACAAGTTCCACAGAAATTCAGTGCTAAACTGCAAAATGGTGCATGGAAATATATACTCGTACATACATATCTAAGAGCTTCTGGCTGAATTAACTTTAAGAGGGGAAATTGGTAATACACTCGTAAAGGACATTCGCCAGGAAGAAGCGACAACAAGCAGGGGAAATGGCCAAACAATCAAAGGGATTTACTGGAGGGGTTCATTCAAGTAGAACAGAATTCAATGCAAAATATATGTATACAATATTGTGGATAATTTTTACAAATATTCTAAGAACTTCAAAAATGCCAACAAAAGGAGAGTGGAAACGGGTAGCGCCCCCGCGGCCGAGAGTTTGGCCGAGAAAGAGCTGCTGCCAGTCACGTGTAAACGTTGCTTTCCCACCCACTTTCTCCACTTAATTTACAGGACACAGGACACATGCTGGGACATACATGTATGTGTTTATCAAGCTTAAGCATTTATCGTTTGTACTCGTTTGTATATTGTGGATTATATCATTTTTGTGATGGGCGGGGAACAGAGTTTAAATTTTGATTTCATTCAGCCAATCGATTGGGCGGTGGGGGGAGGGGCTGGGAAGGAGTAGCGACAGTTAACGTGCAACATGCCATCGTTCTTGAGTGTCTTTTGAAAAATGGCTGTGTGGGGTTGTATTTTTTTTTTTTGAGGGGCGCAGGCAACGGTACAGGCATTTTCATCTTAGTTTAGTTTAGATATTTTTTGCTTTTAATGTGTTTTTTTTTTTTTGTTTTTTTTTGGGTGGGTTTTGGGCTCACCTAGAGCTGGGGCCGGTATGGCACCATCTTTGGTCAGTACGACTGTGTGGGGAAACAGTGTTTCAGAGAGAGAGAGAGAACGAAAATGATAAAATATAAGTAATTCTTGTCAATCATCATTATCATCAATCATCATCGTCAATCATCACCAATCATCATCATTATCAAAGTAGTCAAAGCAGACGCATTAAACATAACTTAATCGAAACCACAAATACACACTAAATTAATTAATTATGAACTATAATTATTTGTAGTGTGTGTGCGTGTGTGTGTGTGTGTGTGTTTTTGAGTGTGCTTTTATTCGGGTTTGGGTTAGGGTTAAGCAGCCGCAACCCCGCAAGAAAATAAGCCAAGTTACACAAGAATAAGCAGTCAAAGTCAATATATTGAAAGGTTTCCAACAGGTACGGATACAGGTACAGATACGGATATAGGTACAGATACAGATACAGGTTAATGGTGCAGCTTCGCGTTAACAAGTTTTTTTGCTTTGGCCTCCAGCCCCTCGTGGCACACTCGATTAACAAACAAACGGTTGAGCATTTTCTAGCGTGTGCTTTCCCACAACAAAAAAAAAAAAACAGGAACGGGGATAGGGGGTAGGGGGTAGGGGGCTAGGGAAACGTAACATTTTCATTAGGAACACACACATTCTCGCTGGCAACTCAATTTCTCAGTTGCAGTTAGTTTTAGTTTTAGTTTTAGTTTCAGTTTTTGGCCACCAAAGAAGTTGATGTGAAAAGTTCCAAGGCAAACAAACAACAAAGTATATGAAAAAAAAAAAAAAAAAAAAAACTAAGGGAATGTTAAGAAAGCAGCAGTACGTATGGTAGGAGCAGCAGCAGGAGCAACAATGGACATTTAAGTACTGGCTAAACGGGGCAGCAGCAGGGTTTCAGTGTGCATTCGATCGGGCATCAACGAACAAAATGAACAGCTGATTGTACAAGTACTGCAAATGCAACTGCAACTGCAACTGAAACATTGATGTTCATGCCAAGTAGTGAAGGTATGACGGATGTTACGCAGACGAAGGCCCACCAGTACGTTTAGACAGTACTTAAAATGCTATGCTTTCATTTCTGCTGCAGCTCTCTGGCTCTTGTTCTTGTTCTTGTTCTGTGGCTGTTGCATTTCATCGTAATTGCATTTCTTTGCTGAACATTTAAACTTGTTTTACGTTACGTGGCTTCCATGTTTCTATTGATGTGTGTGTGTGTTTGTGTGTATGTGTGTGTTTGTGTGGATCTATCTATGAGTGTGTGAGTGTGTGCATGTGTTAGGATCACTTACCGTTGGGTACTGCTGTCACTTTTTTGGTTTGTACACGTGCAGTGGCGTTATTCACCTTCACAATTGGTTATTATTTTTATTTTTTTGTTTTTTTTGTTTTTGGTTTTAACGAGCGATCAGCGAGCGGTGGTGGTTGTTGTTGGTTGTTGTAGTTGTTGGTTTTGGTGATGAGTTTTTATATATATATATATATTTTTTTTTTTAATTTTATATATCATATACACACGAAAAGGTACAGTATATATATAATATATATACATATATATATATCGAGAGAGAGAGAGCGATCGCATGTATATAGAGAATGTAGAAATAAATTATGTGTTAGTTAACAATTACAACAAAATCTTTGCAAATTGTGTGTTTAAGTGTTGTTGTTGTTGGGGTGTTGGGAAATTTGTGTGTGTGTGTGTGTGTGTGTGTGTGTGATTCTAGGGTTCTATAAAATCCAATATTTCTATCATTTAAATTAAAATTTTGATATGAAAACTATATTGAAAATTGCTAAATGTTTCAAGTACTGAATATTTTTGTAAAAATTTCGAGATAAGTTTATTTAAATAATTGTATTGATTTTTTGTTGTTACAGTATTAAATGAATTTTTATTTGCCTTCCATTACAGTTTTACGGACACTATGTCCTAGAATTCCTTTCAATTTATGTTGTTCCTTCTGACTTTTTCCGGGGCTAAAGATCATCCATTGGTATGGTTTCCCCAGTCGTGTATATGGCATGGCTTTCAATGCAATTTTGATTATTATTTCGAATTCATTTACGCTCGATTAATGTATATACTTTTTGAAATTAATTTTTTGTGGCCTTTTAGCGAACGGACGGACATGCGACATCCGTTTCCAGCTGGGCATGTGGCAGACCTTTTGTGGACCCAGAGACTTAATTAGACTCGTGCGATTCCCGCAGGCATTTGGCTAGCGGAAAATAGCACAGCACAGCACAGCACAGCACAGCTCAGCCTTTTGTGCGGCTCAGTTAATTTGTTTAACCAACCATCGTCCGACGGACGGACGGACGGACAGATGGACAGATGGACGGACGGACATAGAGACTGACCAATACATGGTCCATACATTTCTCTGTGTGCGCGCGGACACTTTGTGCATTTTCAGCATATTTTAAATGCCAATTATTTGCGGCTCCCCATTTAACATTTAACATTAATCAGAATAAAAAAGAGAGAGATCGAGAGAGAGAGAGAGAGAGAACAACAAAGGGCGGGCGAAAATTGTAATTAATTTTTAATGAAAGGCAAATAAGAATCCCCAATCCTGAACGTAATTTAAAAATCAATCACGGGCCGGGCACAGACTCCGGCCAACTGTGCTGACAATGCGTGAGGCGATCCCTTTCCTTGGATTAAATGAAAAACAATTATGGAAGGTGGCAGCGCCTTATCTCATTGGAAGGACACACGCCAGGATTACAAGTTGAAAGGCAATTTCTTTGTTTTGTTTTTTTTTTTTTTTCTTTTTTTGTGAAATTAGTGGTGGATTCTTGTTGTTTTCTAGGGGGATGTGTTTAGGTGTGTATGTGTGTGTGTGTGTGAGTTATGGTAAATGGTATATGGCATGCACCCACCTCGATTTTGCGTCCCTCAACCACGGTGCCGTGTAGACGTTCGCGTGCTCGTTCTGCTTCGTTGCTGTTAGCGAATGTTACAAAACCGAATCCCTGCCATTCGCAATCAAACATGCAATTAAAGAAACATATAGAGTATATAGATTACGATTTCCAAAAAATACGAAAAAAATACGAAAAAGAAAAAAAAATATATGTATATATATAACATTTTCTTATAAATAATCCAAACAACAAGGTTCTCTGGGGTTGTCTTTTATTGTTTGTTGCTGTAGTCGTTTTCAAAAAGCTATTGCTACAAAAAATACATCAACAAGGCAGGGCGGGGCATGGGGGCATGTGGGCATGGGGACATGGGCCAAGGACATGCTTCGGACAGGGGCCATTGGCAAATTGCTCCTCTCTTATATATTCTGAAGGATGGTTGGAGGAGGGTCTCCCGGGGATGGGACTGCGAGTGCGACTGCGACTGCGACTGCGACATGCACGTGCCCTATACTTTGCAGCTCTGTCTTCGCTCTGCTCCATGGCTCATGGATCTTTCCTCAGCGTCAGCGTCAGCTTCAGCCTGTGCTCTGCTCAGCTCTCCTCTTTCCTCTTCAATGGAATATATGTATCCCAAGGTGTTGGGACGCCTTAAATTATGCACCATTCCGGGTGCCATGGTAACTGTGCAATTATTTTTGCCAGGCTCCATAATAATGTATAAAAAAAAAGAAGCGAAAATAGGAAAAGGACAGCTACGAGAGCCAGAAACACGGCTCTGGTGTTGCCAAGGCAACGACGGACAAAGAGCATCTCCTGGGAATATCTGGAGTGCATAATTTAAATGAATTGTGCGACAATTAGATGCAAAATGTCCCACACAATTGGCGGCAGGCGGCAGGCAGCTGGAGGGAGAGGGAGAGCGAGAGCACAGCCACAAAGGAAGACAGAGGTGGAGCCTTGAACGTGCCACACAGGACTTACCTTGCTGCCGCGCTCATTGAATATGATTTCCACATCCAGAATGGTTCCAAATTGCTGCGAAAACGGGAGAAGAAAAAAAAACGAATTCAAATTAATTTCATGCCCTCCCCGAGGTGTCACGCCGGCACTCACCCCAAACATGGCACGCAGATCGGGATCCCGGAAACGGAACGGTATGTTGGAGACATGCAGCCGCTTGGGCTGACTTTTGGCATCCATGGAGGCGGCAACGGCCTGGGCCACCGTCGGCAGCGCCTGCGCGGGGACTAGAGCACTGGTCAGGCTTGTGACCACATTCGGCGACTGCACGGAGGCGGTCATGATGCCGCTGACTGCTGCCGCATTCAGGTGGGCAATCACTTGCGAGGTACTCGCCGGCACCACCAACGCCCCCCCATTGGCCATGCTGGCCAAGCTGTCCAGACCGGCGGTGGGCAGGAGACCCACACCCACACCGCTGCTGCTGGTGGCGGCCAGGGCTCCGGCGGCTATCGAGCTGGCCGTGACGGAAGTGGCCGCTGCCATCGATGTGGGACTGCTGCAAAGGAGCGGCATTTGCTGCTGCTGCTGTTGTTGCTGCTGCTGCTGCTGCTGTTGCTGCTGCTGTTGTTGCTGCTGCTGTTGTTGCTGCTGTTGTTGCTGCTGCTGCTGTTGCATGGCGGGCGGCGTCTGGAGCAGCGGCTCGCCGCTGGCTATCGGTGATGTGTTGCCCGACATGCTGCTATCTGTGGCACTTCCATTAAATGTGGCGGCTGCTACTGCGGCGACTGTGGCCTGCTGCGATGCTGTGACGCTGGACGGGGAGCTGCAGAGCGGAGAGCCGGGCGGTCCACCGCCACCGCCGCCGCCTGTGCCACCGCCTGCTGTGCCGCCGGCATTCGAGAGGGCTGAGCTCTGTTGCGAATCTGCAGCCTCATTGGCAATCAATACTGTGGACTGTGTGAAAGGAAAAGAAGCGGAAATAGAAGCAGTTTAGTCAAAGGATTCAATATTTTGATGCTCTTAACGCTAGAGTCTGGAATATTCTAGTTTTGTTTAAATAAAAACTTTTTGTACGGCAAATAACTGCAGTTTTCTGCTTTTAATAGCGGCGGGAATATTATTGAAAGCGATTTTTGGAGGAAACTTCTGTTGTTGGCATTTTTTGGTTGGGTTTTTGGGGTCGTATTTTTCAGCACTTTCCTGGCAAATCGAATGCGAACAAGTGCCGCAATAAATAAACAATTGAAATGAAAATACAATTTTCAAGTGGTTTACATCCGAGCGAAAAGGGATGCGATGCCCACACGCATCTGTGTGTGTGTGTGTGCCACAGTGTGTGTGTGTGTGTGTTTTTTTTTTTTTTTTTTATTCTAAATAAACTCCTTAATTTTATTAAATTTTTTTTATAAGCCTAGGACTTAACTATAGCTAGACAGGGAGCTGTGTTGAGTTGGAGAAGGAAGGAAGTTCCGGGTCTCTGCGGGACGGCCGCAAAGCAATGCTTCGCAGGGACCATGGTTCCTCCTAACCACTCTCATTTCTTCGGCGCTCGCACCTACGCAATTCTTTCATGGCGTCGGCGGCAAAGTTGTTCCAGGCCGACCATGCCGTGGGGTCTTCCACAATCGTCTCGATCAGGTTGTTCGGCGTGAGCTGCCCGCCGGCGGCTCGCCACAGCTCCTCCCTCTTAAGTGCGAAGCGCCCACAATGAAAAATTATGTGCTCAGCGTCTTCAGTGGCGTCGCCACACCACGAGCAATTCGGCGAGTCCTCGTGCCCAAACCTCCAAAGGTAATGGCTGAAGCAGCCGTGTCCACTCAGAAGCTGTGTAGAATAGAAATTGACCGCACCGTGTCGCCTGCCGATCCAATATCGGACATCCGGAATTAGGCGGTGTGTCCACCGTCCCTTACCAGAGCCGTCCCAGCGGCTTTGCCATGCTCTAAGGCTTTCGTCACGGGCGTGCTTGCGCGCGTCTCTCCTTGCCGCGCCGGCCCGGATGGCTTCGGCCACCGCCCTCTCCTCAAGAACTAGAAGGTCGATGGGTAGGACTCCCGCCAGGACTAGGGCAGCGTCGTCGGATAGAGTCCGAAAGCCGCAGCAGATTCGTAGCGCGCAAAGGCGATGAGTGGATTTTACGCCCCTGGCGTAACTGGCAACTTGAATGCCATCCGCCCATATGGCTGCTGCGTAGGTCATGGCTGAGCGGACTACGCTGGTCAGCAGAATCCTCCTCTCCTGCTTCGGGCCACGGGTGTTCAGCAGTATTCGGGACAGCGCCCGACTCGTGTTTGCCGCTTTCTCCTGAACGTAGCTTAGATGTTCTCGGAAACTGAGCCTGGTGTCTATCATCACGCCCAGATACCGAATGGCTCTTTTCGACGATAATCTCTGGTCGCCAACCCTGATGTGAGCGGTCTCCACAGTCGAACGGGTGCTCACCAATACTGCCTCGGTTTTATGAGCGGCTAGCTCTAGTCCCGCAGAACGGAGCCAGTCTGCAATCAGCTGGATTGCGGTGTCGCAATTTGCTTCGACGACGTCCAGGTGCTTGGCTACAACCGTCAGGGCGACGTCGTCTGCGTAGCAGGTTAGTTGACATCCGCCTGGGAGTGCTAATCTCATGACTCCATCGTAGGCAATGTTCCATAAGAGAGGTCCCAACACTGATCCTTGGGGAACGCCTGCCGTTATGCCGTGAGACTGCGCGCCGGTCGCCGTATTATACTCCAGCAGTCTCCCCTCGAAGTAGCTCCGTACTATTGCCTGCAGGTATTGGGGTACCCCGCGCCGGTTCAATGAGTCCAAGATGCACTCCCACTTCACCGAGTTGAAGGCGTTCCTGATGTCTAGGGTGACAATCAGGCAGTATTCCTTCTTGCCGCCCTTCCATCGAGTTCCCTCCACTGCCTTGGAGGCTATGTCGACTACCCTGCCTATGGCGTCCACCGTTGACTTCCCTCTCCTGAAACCGTATTGGTTTGGAGAAAGTCCCCCAGCATCCTCGACGGCGTTGTCCAACCTTCTGCGAATTATCTGCTCAAGAGCCTTACCCAGCGAGTCGATTAGGCAAATCGGTCGAAACGAGGAGGGATCGTCCGGCGGCTTTCCTGGCTTTGGCAAGAGCACCAGATGTTGCGACTTCCACTGCGGCGGAAATAGTCCTTCCCGCAGGCACTGCGTGAATGCCTTGGCGAACTCATGCGGGCTGTATGCCATCGCCAGTTTTACCGCACGGTTGGGGATTCCGTCAGGGCCTGGAGCCTTCTTGGCCTTTAAGCTGCGGGCCAGGGCGGCGATTTCGTCCTCCGTGACTGGTTCGACCGTATATGAAGACTGGTGTGCAGCGGCACTGGTGGCGAGGCCGTGAGCCCCGGATGGGAACAATGTCTCAACAATAGTCCGCAGCTGTGCTGGGTCAGACGGCGACCCCGCGTTGCTGGCATGAATACGCTTCATCACCGTCTTGTAGGCGCGTCCCCACGGATCCTTATCGGCTGAGTCGCATAGCTGCAGGAAGCACTCCCTCTTGCTCTCCTTGATAGCGTACTTTAGAGCTTTTCTAGCTCCGCAGTACTCCGCCTGTAGTCTTGGCCAGCTAGTGTCGCTCCTTCTGCGGGCCCGTTGATATCGCCTTCTAGCTGACAGGCAGGTGCTTCTGGCCTCCTGAATCTCGTCATTCCACCAATAGGTCGTCGACTGCTTACCCTTGTATGGCCTCTTGCGACTCATACTGGCATCGCATGCGAGCAGTAGGGATTCCAGAAGCTGGTTGACCATCTGTTGCGCTGAGCCTCCGACCTCCATATGCCTCAGCGCCTCCAGGAACCTTGGAATCCGCATTGATTCGGGGTTGTAGGCTGCTCTCCGGCTTGTTTGCGGGGTCCTGGTCGGTCTGCAACCACCTTCTCCGCCTATCGAGAACACCACTGCCTCGTGGTCGCTGGCTGTGTAGTGGTTTCCCAGGCGCCAGGTGGACAGAGGGGAAAGGCTACTAGAGGTGAAAGTAAGGTCGATGATTGACCCAGCGCCACCCCTATTGAAGGTATTCGCGGTCCCCTGGTTCAGCAGTACTACGTCCAACGCAGCGAAGGCCTCAAGAAGTGCATGCCCCTTGGATATGGCATCTGAACTGCTGCTTCTGGAGATGTCGCTGCCCCACTCCTGGGCCCAAGCATTGAAGTCGCCAGCAATCACGTTTGGTTTGTGGTGCCTGGCGTCGTCGGCCAATTCGTCCATCGCCGCAGCGAAACTATGGCGGCTCAGGCTTGGAGGGAGATAGCAACTGTAGATCCACAAGTTCCCCAGTTTTGCCCTGACAAAATGTCGGAACTCCGCACACCCTGAAGGCCGTAGAGGAGGCTTACCGCAGGCCCATATTGCTGCTTTGCCTGAGGAGCTTTGGACCCAGAATCCATCGTCGGGGGATATGTAGGGTTCACTAATTATTGCAACGTCCGATCTCATTTCGCGCACCGACTGAGAGAGCAGGTCTGTGGCAGCCTCGCAATGGTTTAGGTTTATTTGATAAAACCTAACCATGTCCAGCGTGGTGACTTGCCTTCTCTTTAGGTGCCATGGGGCACCTGTGGCTACCAGCCACATGTGTGTGGGGCTTGCCCTTTCCGGCGCAGAGGAAGCATTTTGCCTCATTGTGGCAGTCACCAATCTTGTGCTCCGCAGAACCACAGCGGAAGCACCACCCGCTTCTGTCCACAGAGCTTTTGCACTTTAGTGCAACGTGGCCGATCTCAAGGCACCTGAAACACTTTAACGGAAGGTTTCGTTCCCGTATGCGGCAGACGGACCATGCCACTTTCACCTTTCCGACGGAGAGCGCCTTCGTCGCAAGGGTCGCCGGCAGGCAAATAATAGCCCGCTGGGTGCCACCAAAGCCTGGGCGCAAACTCTTAACGGCGTCCGCATCGAGAGTAATCCCCATTTGCTCGCTGAAGGCCTTCCTCACGTCCTCCGTGGTAGCCATCTCGTCCAAGTCGACCATCTCTAGCCTCGTCTGCTGGGTGAGTGCTCGCGCCTCCACCTTGCCTCCTAGGACAGTGCCTATGTCCTCGCGAAGCAGCTGCGCGGTCTCCTTCGAGGCGTCTTTAATCTCCAATAGGAGAGCACCTTTGGCTGTGCGCTTCACTCTGCTCACACTCTCACCGACCTTCTTCATCTTCTCGCTCTGGTTGCGGGTGACGAGGTTGAGGATCTCCGCATACGTCATTTCCCCTTTTGGCTCGATGATAATGGCATCCGGACGGGGCCTTGGCTTCCGGGCGTGCGCTCTACTCTTCACCTTCTCCCATTCACCTTCGGTAGGTGCAGCTGTTTCGATCATCCTTACCGTGTGTTCGTGGGACTGTGACGTGGGGTGGTCACTCTTTCTGACTCTCCGCTTCGGCGAGCTCCTCGTCGGCTTCTCCAGCTTCCTTTTCGGCGCATCGTGTTGAGGGGAGCACTGCGTCTCCTGGTCGCGCCGCTCCACCCTCTCCTTCCTCTGAGACCTTGCGTCGAAGCTGTGAAGCGCAGACTTTTGCATCCTCACCACGTTCTGCGCCAACTCTTTCATCTCCTTGTTGAGATAACGTGCGTCCCTCAGCATCTTCGACAATTCCGTCGACTTTTCTACCAGCGAAGCCAGGATCGCCCGCAGATCTCCGTCTGCCTTTGTTCCTGTTCCGCTTTTGTCTGTGGAAGCACTGCTGAAGTCAAAGGGGTTGACAGGGACTTCTGCTGGTGCAGACACAGTCAGTGCTGGCAGCACTCTTAAGGGCGCCTTAAGTGGAGATCCGGTACCAAGGCTTAGCTGGGCCGGCTTCTCGACTGCCTGCTCCCTGGGCCAAATGCCTCGGGGCGTCTGCCACTGTGGTGGGGAACGCTGCAGGCTAGTTCTCCTCTCAAAGACCCGCTTTTCTTCCTCCTCCATTCTTCCTGTATGTGATTGCCAATTATTCGAATTCTAAATTTGAAATTTGAAATTGTTGGCGCTCAACTTTCGAACAGGTTGGCCGATCTGGCAACCCTACGACTGTCCTACGCTGTCCGGCAACTCCGTGCGTTAAGCACCTCTGCTCGATCAGCTGATCCGTGACTACAAATCGAGGCAAGTGAAGCGATTTGAGTGAAAGTTGTTTTTATATTTCCTACCACCTACGCGATGGATAGAGAAATGCGCCAAAACCAACGATCACCCCCCCTGGGCTATCTGCGCGTCAGCGTGTGCCCCTGCAACCAACTGGGATGTCGCCGTCGCCAGCCACCATGCGCAGTGAGTACCGGGACTCTGAAAGCCTGGCCTGAACCGTCTTCTCTTTTGATTCCAGGCGTGGTACGGATTTTGTTTGTATAAAACTCGGAGCTCGCTTGCAAACACGACCGCACTTGAAAATGTGTGTGTGTGTGACCCAATAAAAAAGTTACTGGGGGGAAAACCGAAGGGGCACACACAGGAACACAGATAGGAATACACGAACAGGAGCAGGAAAACCCATACAAACACACTCCCACACACACACACACACAGAGAAGAGCGAGTACATATTTTGTGGCACAAACTTGTGTTGACTTATGCAATAAAACTGTCGCGCAAACTGTTGCAATATACCCCCAATCCACCACACATGCCGCATGCCCCACAGCCCCAGGAGAAAATGCAATCCCAATCGACCCTGCGGAAATGTTTGCATTTTGTATTTTTGCATTATTAAAACTGAAAATGCATTGCCATGACAGGCTATTGTTGTTGTTTTTGTTGTTGTTGCTCCAACAAGCCCCTACAACACACACACACACACACACACACACAGAATAGCAGTAGCGCGTTCCACTCCCGCTTTGAATAATACGAAAGAATTCTCTATTTACGCAGGAATATAAAAACAGAAAGGGGGCATCCGAAGCTTGAGATACCCTGGACGGAGCCATGGGTTTCTCTCGGACAGAACAGACAATCGATCCAGCATCAGCCTTGGAAGACTTCCCCATCAAGCTCTCTCCCCTCCTGGCCAGGGTATCCTCAAAAGGAGCATAAGCCCCAAGCAAAGCCGGCCGAGCAAATTCGATGACAATGCAATAAAAACTGAACAGCAAAAGCGGCAGGAACAAGAACGAATGCCACAATGGGGCATGCCCCATAATGTAGGCAATAGAAATAACGCTTAACTTAATTTGCTGCGCATTGTTGACACATAAATCTAAACAAAAATTCCCCTATCAAATATACCTACATATATATATACATATATAGTACGTACACTCTGCATTTTTTTCAGTTCGGGGTTCTATTCGGTTCGGGTTTGCATGTTTACCGAACATTTCGGCCCCAAAGTGAAATGGCGTGAAAAACTTTGGCCATATAAATGGCTAACGGCTAAGAGGTTGGGGGCGACGGGGCTGAGGGGGGGGGGGGGCGAAGGATGTTATTGTTTCGGGTATCGGGTTACACGTAAATGACATTTAACGCTTTTTAGTTTATCGAAATGCTTTTGTGCGGCACGCGACAAATGCTGCCTGCAAAAAGGTCGCCGGTCGCCCTCCGCCCGCCGTCCGCCGTCCGCCTTTTGATTTGCTTTCTGCATTTCTGCATATATTTTGGGACTACAAACTTTCTCAAAGAAATTTGCTCTAAATTGTTTCCTATTTGATATTTACTGAGGCGTATGTCGGTTAGAAACTTTGACTTCTTTCGGTTGTTTTTATGGGTAAACTTTTCTTCATTTTTTTGCGGGGGAAAAAAATTACTTTTAACTGATTTAATTGGTTCGAAATTGATGGTTTCATGTGTGCATATCTTAATATTTCGGGTTTTCATCAATTATTTGAATATTTCAGAATTTATACAATTATTGTAGAGGAATATATTAGGAAATATATTTAATATACCTATAAAAACATTTCTTTTAAATACGAAATATATTTGGATCATATTAAAAGGTAAAACGTAAGAGAAAACAATTTGTGTTTACAATATTTAATCTCTGGGGGCTTTTTCTTGTGGGCAACACTCCCATTCATCTCCGAGACAGTGCCAGAAGGCATTCATATTTTCTGTTTCTCTAGGCCCCTCCTTACTTTCATTTGCCGGAAATTATTCAAAAAATATTATTATATATTTATCCCAATCTTATAATCTGATAAGCTTGAGAAGAGCTAAGCTTTGAAAACTGTAATTCCACTCACAATTAATTATAAAAATAAAAAACTTTGCAAGCAAAAGAATCCGCACTGAAAATCACACAAAAAATAAAAAAAAAAAAACCCCTGGCATATCCTTTAAACATCTGCTGCTGCTGCTGCTGCATCTGGACCCCCTCTCTCCCTCTCCCCCGCTCTCTCTCTCTCTCTTCAGATGATGACAATGCATACAAAATGCAGTTACAAAAGAGTTCAAGTTGAGGCGGAAAAGAAAAGGAGATTTTCCCGGCCAGTCTGTTGGTCGCCTAATGAAGATGAGCACAATAAACAAAAAAACAAAAAAAAAAAAAAATAAATAAAAATGTAAGGACGGAAAACCAGCAGGAAAAACGAGCAAAAGAAAACATGGACAAAAAACCCCCAAGAAACTGGCACGTAAATTTCAATTGTGTGCTCTGCGCGTCTCCTCTCGTCTCGTCTCGTTTCTCTCTCTCTATTTTTTAGTGTTTTCTTTTTTTTTTATTTTTTTCTGCTGTTGTTGATTTTATTATAATTTTTTTTTTGTTGGTGGCTGCTTTGCCTTTGCCAAAAAAAAAAAAACACTCACTATGCTGAGCACATTTTGTGGGGGCTGCGATGATTGCTGATGGTGATGGTGTTGTTGTTGTTGTTGTTGTTGCTGCTGCTGTTGTTGTTGTTGTTGGTGGTGGTGCTGCTGCTGCTGCAGTTGTAGCTGGTGGTGATGGTGCTGCTGCTGCTGCAGTTGGTCCATGGCATGTCCATTTGTCAGGGATGGCTGCGTGACCACTGAAACTGGGATTTGGCCAGGAGCCTGTCCCGGTCCCGGACCCGGACCCGGACCAGGGACTGTGACTGTTGAGGATGCGACACTGCTGGCTGTTCCATTGTACAGTGTCTGTGTTTGTGTTGACAGATTTGTCTGTGATAAATTTTCAGATAACAACAAGGATTTGCGTTTTAGTTGCGAGTGGCGTTCTTCTCCCCCTCGCTACATAGGGCTACAGAGTGTACGAATGTGTGTGTGTGTTTGGATTAAGATAGATGCAGTGTGGTATAAGGCTATAAAAAAAAAAAACAGGAATACACCCAGACAGGCAGACAGGCGACCAACACCAATTGCTTAATTTGCTTAAATGTTTAGCTTAATTTTTGTCTACATCCCCCCCACCCATTCCCGCCACCCCCAAACATTCCAAACTGCATTTACAAGTTGCTCAATTGCTTGGAACATGCCCAAAATACTTTTACGTTTACATTTAGCATATTACATATCGTATTGTATATTATTTAATGGTTATATATCTATGAAACTATAATGGAATCATGACAAAATGCAAAATGAATATACAACCAGGTCGGGGGGCAGGGGCAGGGGCAGTGGTGAGTCTTATACTAAATTTTCAACAATTTTTGTATACTATTTATAAACGTTTTTCCAGACATTTCAAGGTATATGGTATTTTAGGAAATAAATTTGGAGGAAACAAAAAAATACATTCAGTTATCAAGAGAAAACATTCCCGAGCACCCATTCACTGCCCAATAAATGTACAAATAAATAAAGTTTATTTTACGCACAATCTAATTCTATATCTATATGGCCATCAATGTCTGCAAGGGTATCAAGTATCCACCCTACGGAAAAGTTTACCCATTTCTTTGATTTTGGATTTATTCAAAAGAGAAAAAGTCCCATTTAATATTCAAGAATACACATGTGTTGAGACCTTGAATAATTTTCCCATTCTTGTTGTTTAAAAACAACAACAATATCGTATTAATTGGAATGTTCGGTAAATGCCCCCAAAAGGGCAGGCAAGCAAACAAACAAACAATGAAACCATTCAAAATGTCAGCCTCCAAGTGGCGCGTATTGTTCAGGTATAGAAATACAATATATATGTATATAAAATATTATATTAAATGCACACTACATATCGTACATGTCGAAACAACAACAAAAAACACAACAATGGGCTAGCAAACATGAGTATTAATTGCAATTAATTAAATATTTGCTTAATTTATTACACCAGCCAGGGCACAGGCACAGGCACAGGCACGGGTTCGGGCACACCAAATTCACTGAAAACTAAATGCAAACAAAACATACCCATGTATGTGTGTATTTGTGTGCTGTTTGTGTGTGTGTGTATGCATTGTTAAAAAATGAAAGCAAACCTAATGCTCTCTCGTCTGTTAAATTATTCAAATGCACGAATCAATTTCCATAAACAAATATCCCTCGGGTTCAACAAAATCAAACAAGCGTTTTGTACGAGTATTTATTATACGGTTTAGACCCCCCCCCCCCCCCCCCCCCCCTCTCCTTGAAAACACCTGCAAACAAATGTTTGCCCGACAATATATTTCAAAATAAACAAAACAAACATATTTTAGATGCAAAAATACGGTTATTCTATATAGAATGCAACTGATTTTGGTGTGGATACATAGTGGGGCATGTATTGGTGGCAAATGTTGCATGTGGCACGTCTGGGATGATCAATTCTTAATTGGAACAGCGAAAGAAAGAATAAACTACAGAGCACTCCTCGGGGCCACATGAGAAATGAGAGCAATCGCAGCGGCACCTAAAAGTATGCTACAAAAAATCACTAGAAAACTAACGACAGTAGTGGCTCGAATATTATGGCAGCCTGCTGGCCACAGGGGAAACGATTGAAAGAACTTTAACATCGGTTTAAGACTCTTTTTTTACACGGTATAATGATGGAAATATTTATGTATTTATATAATTTTTGATAAACATACTTTCTAACAATCTACTATTATCACTACTACAAGGGCTTTCAAATACTGCTAAAAGCTTCTAAAATAATATGCTTCTAATTTAAGAGTGAGTTCGGGCTCGTGCTGGCATTGCTTTATGGAAATCTCTGTACATTTGGGACGTTTCCACTTGCCGGGCCATCACTGTTGGCTCTGGCAGGAAGGTGATACTCTAGTGCTCCCTGCAGCCTTGTGTGTGTGCGTGTGTGTGCATTTGTGGGGGTGTTTACTGCCGTGGGGGCTTAACTCTTTTGCAGCTGCTCGGACACGCATGCAATTAAAAATGTAAAAGCAGCAGAGCGGCCGCAACATCAACAAGAAAAAAAAAAAAAAAGAAAAAGAAAACCAAAGCAGATCAACAACAAAGAACAGTTGTTGCAATGAGAACAAACACGGCCTACTGACCGTATGTATGTGTGCATCAATTTGTGTGTGTGAGTGTGTGTGTGTGGGGAAAACCAAATCAAAGCATCAGCAAAAACCAAAGAGAGCCAAAACCAAACTGAAGGTGGAACCAAAACCATAAACACATACACGAATCTACAAATGCATACCAAAAGTACACACACACACACACACACACACACACACAAACAGTGGCACAGTTAGGTGAGGGGGGTGGGGGGGTTGGATATAGAGGGGTAGAGTTATAGGTAGGGGGAGGTTGCACTCACCTTTGTCTGTTGCATGTACAACGGTGCGCATTCGGACACACTCGTGGCCACCACTGAAGCCGATGCACCGCCATTGGCCGTGGCATATTCTGTTGCAACTCCTCCGACAGCTCCTGGCGCTGCCGCTGCAGCTGCTGCTGCTGCTGCTGCTGCTACTGTGTTCCCGGTGGCAGCTCCAGCTCCTCCTGCCTCGCCGGCCGCCTTTAACTGGGTCACTGGCTCGGCCTGCTGTTTGGCTGCCGCAGCCGCCACAGCGAGGGACAGACTATCGGCGGCTATGGCGGCAGCGCCCGCCTGTTGGGCAGCGGCCGCAGCAGCTCCGGCCTGCTGGGCAGCGGCTGCTGCAGCCGCGGCCGCTGCTGCCTGCCCTGGAGCGGCGGCATAGCCGGCCGGAGCGCCCGGAAATGGCGCCACGCCAGCCTGCACCATGTGCTGTATGGAGAGATAAAGAGAGACGGAGAGAGGGAGAGAGAACGGGTTGGGGAGAGGAAAAGAGAGAGAGAGAGAGAGAGAAAGATGGGTTTATGGATTAGTATTGGTCGCATAAAAATGGCGGTAAGTCCCACACACCCACAAAAAACAACTCAAAATGAAAACATTATGGGTATTATGGGGTTTTATGGCCCCTTTCACAGGAAAGGGTATCACGATTGGGGCAAGATGCAGTGTATACAGTATATCTTATTTTAAAAGCCAAACGGATATCCCTCTGTCTTGGCAGAGATCCTCCTTCCGCCCAAGATCGGTTCATTCTCGGATATGCATGCACGGGCCTTTTCTTCGTTACGCGGTGACACATTTCATACGGCTCTTATGGCTCCACTTCCGCTGCCACATAACACTAACACACCCCCCGCCCCATGTGTGCCCCCATAAAAGTGCAAAATGAAATCCAGGTAGTTTATATTACAGGTGGCAACCTGGCATTCCCCCATTGGGTGCCCAGAGCTTTGGGGTTTTAAGCTCTGGTTTAAACAAAGGACACAGAGAGAGAGAGAGAGAGAGAGAGAGGAGAGGAGCTAAGGATATCAGTGGAGAGGATGGGAGTGGAGTATGCGTACAAAATGCGCTTTAAATTGTCAGTTTTATTTGTATAAAATGCGGCCCTTATTTGGCTTGTCTCGCCATGGGTTTACCCCACCACCCACCCCCCTAACCACTACCTCCTGCCACTGCCACTGCCACTGTCAGCATCTATGAAATATGCTAAATTTGCAGCTTATTGTTGGCTGTAGCTAAATACAGATACACACACACACACACATGCAAACTCCCAGCCAGAAGCATAGCGCAACTTTTTCGGGGGATTTTTGTGGGTTGGGTAGAGGGTAGAGGGCGGGGGTTGGTGGCACGAACGGGATTAACATGTGAGTGGCATTTTAATATGGTTTTTAGCCATGGAAAATTGTTACCTTGCACGAGTAAGCACTAGAGATGAGCATTTCAAGAAAGGGACTTCGCCGAAAGGCGCATTTCGTACGGCAAAAGGTGGCCACAAATTTTCCCCAGTTGCCCGGATCTGTACACGCACTTGCTTCTACCTTTTTTATGGCATCTCTGGCGAAGAGCACTTTCTTCCTACACGAAATGGTTATTAATTTTATGGCTTAATGCAAAAATGTCACCACAAAATGCGGGTAAGTGAAGGATCCTGAATGCACATTACACGACGCGACGCAAGGGAGGAGAAAAAAATCATTTCTTAAATGTAAATATATTTTATAATTGGTGGAGCTCTTAAGAATAACCAAAAACCGTTTATAAATATATAAATGCCAAGACAACGAGTGGCGGCCGTGTATCTGGTGGATACAGTTCATCTATCTTGGCAGGCAGGGCATAAACCAGAACCAAAAGCCAGAACCAGCATTTCAACAGAGCCACAAATAGTACGGCATACAACGTGCAAACGTGTCGCCGATTTTCTATTTATTTTGGCATCAGCCCATCACCAAAATTGCACTCATCATGGCCTCTGCCCCTCCCCCTCTCTCTGTACGCCCTGCACGCTCTATAGAGATTCCTCTTATATTTCTTCTCAACGATTTGGGCTTTGAAAAATTAGCTTGTTAATTAAATTCAAGCAACATATGACATGTCGGGGGATGCTTTCGCCTCCGCTGCGTTCGTTCCGATGCACAAGTATCTATATGTAGACGTAGACGTAGACTTCCTCCTTCCCTGCCTCCTCTCTCGCCCTCTCGCCCTCTCTCGTCATCATCTGGTGACATAATCCGCTGTGCAAATTGGCGCTCATGTTGCTCATACGCCGCGTTGGCCAGGCATCACCCAACATGCCCGTGTCGTCTCATATGCGAAGGTATATATATACATAAATATATGTATCTATATATACCCGCTCCTACATATGTATATATTCTCGTGTATATATCGAAGCAGCAAACAGCAAGCGAAAATTGTCAGATTTACATACAAATTTCGATGGCTTCTATGCGTGTAACATTTTATGATGTGCCAATGAAAATGGTTTTCCCGCACTTGATTATTCCCGCTTCCCGACTCCTTTGAGAGTCTGTCTCTCCCTCCCTCTCCCACTCGCTCTCTTAATGAGTCTGCCTGCCGCATGTGTCTGTGTCTGGAACATTTTTCCCTCTTAATTTTCGAGCAACTCTTTCATACATTTTTCTGTCAACCTCCATGGGAATGGAGGGGTCTCTGGTCTCTGGTCCCTGGTCCCTGGTCCCAGTCGCCGTTGCAGTCTTTGGCACTTCAGAAAATATCGTACTTTTGCTGCATTCACAAATATTTTTCATTTAATTGCACTTGAGCACAGAGGGTCAGAGGGCAGCACTAGGACCCGGACCCGGACCCGGACCCGGACCCGTACCCGCACCCGAACCAACCCCAAAACTGGGAACAGTTCAAATATCCTCCTCCCTTTTTCTGTTTTTTCTGTTCAGTTTTTTTTGGGGCATATTTACATGGCAAATATTTCGTTGGGCATTGCAGTAGCGCCAACGACAGAAGTGCAGAGCTGGAGCCTCCGCCCTGGCAATTTGCATTTGCTGTTGCTCCTCAAAAAAGGAACAAAAGTATCGGTTCTGCGGTTCGATATTACCGACTGGTAATTTCTTTGGAATACTCTCATTTTTCGAGCGAATAAATGTTTTGACAGAATATATTTCTTGGATTCCCCAAGGGATTGGTAGATCTTTCAATATCTCCACTTTGGAGTCAGAAAAGACAGGCCCTGGTCGTAGCACCAATCTACTCTTTTGCTGGCAAATTACAGGGTATTCCCGTTAAAGAAACAACAACAATTGCCCGGCAACTGGCGTTGTTTTATTGACTGGGGGGCCCAACGATGACGATGACGATGACGATGTCGTTGCTGTTGCTGTTGCTTTTTGCTTTTTGCCTTTTGTTTATATTTTGTGCTGGTAGCATCCGTGGGATCCCAACGCCCCCATTCCGTTCGTTTCGGTGTTGTTTTTGGAACATTTTCAACAAAACACTTTTCCATTTTCATTTTGCAATTGCTGCAACAATCTCTGGCTGCCCGCCTGCACTTTCAAGTGGCATTTTCAAGCCTTTTTGTCTTTTCCAAAGTGTCTTTTGACGCGCAACAAATATTTCGGCACGCGGAATGGAATCATTCAAAAATTAAATGAGAATTTTAGAGAGTGCCCCCATAGAGAATTTCCCATTTTCCATGTTCATTAAATCTATTACGTTTTTGGCAGCGCGTCACACGCTGCGCCATAAGTTATATTATTGTAAATTATAGTATATTTTTAAGTGTGTCACACGGCAGCATTCCACCCCTCTCTCCCTCTCTCTCTCTCTCGAGTGATTGATGGGGGGAGTCCGAAAGAATTTTACTTTGAAATGCAACTGGAAAAAAAATGTGAGAGAAATCGAGAATATCGTGTGAAAATGCAAGAAAAATCTCGACAATTTTTGGCCATTTATTTAGACAACAAAACGCCCCGAAAAAAGCTGTCAAAAGTCAAACTGAATTATAGCATAAACAGTGTCTACAAATACTATGTATTTATATATACTATGTACGAGATATAGCGGTACAGTGGACATTACATCAACAGAATATTAATAAACAATGACGTGAGCAGCGGGTGAAATTTTTTGTTTGGTACTTTCGAAGACCGCTCGAAGACCGCTCGAAAGACCCATCGAATGCCCCTCGTAAGACCCCGCGAAGACCTCGTGTGCGTCAGCTGCGTTTGTTGTCCGTTTCGATTACCAATTCCTAAACGTCGCCGCTAGACGTCCGATCCCCCAGTTTTGAACCTGACATAGTCCGAAGGCATTTTGGCCAATTGCTCAATAGCTGACGCTGCCACTGCCGCTGACGCAATCCAATCGCCACGAAGCGCCCAATTTCGGTCAATGCAATGGCAAAATTTGGGGCGACGCCGCCGACGACGCTCGTTAAAAGCCAGGCCAAGTCGGGCCACGCGGCGAATGCCAATTGAAAGCTGAATTGGAAAATTTGCTTAACACGCGCCTAAAAAAACACAGAAAAAAACACCACCAGCGCCGAGAGTACACCACCCTCGCAACGGCTTTGAATTGTTTGAATTAAAGTATCTGCGATTTTTGCGATTGCTCAATGAGTGCTCAATGGGTGGACAGGTTGTCGGTTGGAAATGTAGGTCGATGCAGGTCACGTCTTCCATACAGATTACAGCAGCAGCAGCAGCAGCAGCATTCCGGTAGAGTATTATATCAACAGATAGTGTCATTTCAATAGCGATTCGGATACCGATACCGATACCGATTCCGATTCCAATATGTCAATGCATATTTGGTTTTGGCTTTGGCTTTGGCTCTGGTTTTTGGTTTTTTTGGTTGAGGGAAGGTCAGGGGTTCAGGGGGTTCAGGCCCATTTCCAGTTACATCTCTGGCCATAATTGGCAGAGAGAGAAAAAAGCACACAGGAAAATGCAGAACGTGTCAAATCAATTTACATGGCAATTGAATGCGACAGAGAAAGCCCAGCCAAGGATATCAAACATATGGCATATAGTGCATCCAGGACGTGGGTCGGGGGTCAGTCCTTGGCCAAATTAGGACCGAGAGAGGGAGAGGCGGGGAGTCTGTGTGTGTGTGCGCTGCCGCCTGTCAGCTTTCTGTTTTTGCCAACAGGAAATTATAGCGAAAGCGTGTTGAAGTGTAAAAGGATGTTCCCCCAAATAGAAATGCAGGTGTGTGTGGCAGAAAGAGGGCCACGAGGAGGCGGAGGAGCAGGAGGAGGAAACTGACATGTAATATGACTACAGAAAATTGCTTTGGCTCTGGCCATGGCTATGGCTATGGCTCTGGCTCTGACTATGGCTCTGGCACTCTGCTCTGGCACTGATGATGGTGATGCGGATGTTGATGCTGAAATTGCAGCATGCGGGTGTCAGATACAAGCTACAAGATACAAATACCTGTGTGCACACCATCTATTTCGACTTTCATCTGTGTGTATGTGTATCCTGTGTAGCTGTATATCTCTAT